GAGAACCTCATCATCTTCATTTCTGACACTTCCAGTTCTGTCTCCTGTCTTTTTGTCCATGTCTCTGTCTCCAGACCATACAACATAGCTGGTCTCACCACTGCCTTGTAAACTTTTCCTTTGACCTTTGCTGACATGACACCCTTTTGTCACAAATCACTCCTGAAACTTTTCTCCATCACTCCATCCTGCCTGGACTCTCTTCTTCACCTCTTCACCACACTCCCCATGTTCCTGGACAGTGGACCCCAAGTCCTTGAAGTCCTGCACCTTTGTGACCTCTGCTCCTTGTAGCCTCACTGTTCCACCTCCTCCCTCTCATTCACACACATGGACTCTGTCTTACTACGACTGACTTTCATTCCTCTTCTTTCAAGTACATACCTGCACCTCTCCAAGTTCTCTTCCACCTGTTCCCTGTTCTCACCACAGATCACGTCATCTGCAAACATCATAGTCCACGAGGATTCCTGCCTGATCTCATCAGTTAGTCGGTCCATCACCAGAGCAAACAAGAAGGGGCTCAGAGCAGATCCTTGATGCACTCCCACCTCCACCTTGAAGCTGTCACTCCTACAGCACATCTCACCACTGTCCTGCTGTCCTCATACGTGTCCTGTACCAGTCTAACATACCACACCTCCTCCCTCAGCACCCTGTCAGATGTTTTTTCTAAATCCACAAAGACACAATGGAGTTCTTTCTGACCCTCTCTGTTCTTCTCCATCAGCATCCTCAAAGCAAAGATGGCATCTGTGGTGCTCTTTCTTGGCAATCAGCCTAACATGCATGTTTTTGGTCTGTGGGAGGAAACTAGAGTACCTGGAGAAAACCCACGCAGCACGGAGAGAACATGCAAACTCCACCCAGAAAGGCCCTCAGCCGGTATTTGAACCACCAACTTGCTTGCTGCCAGATGGCAGTTCTACCAACTGTGCCTTGGATTCAACATATGAAATAAAATAAAAATGCATAAACTTTACGAAAAACAAAGACACCATGATGTCTGAGTTTGCAAACTCAGAGATTAGAACAAACATCTAATAATAGTTAGTAGTTAAACAGCCACTGGCCAAAACAATGGACCAGCACAGAAGAGCAACATCATCAGTCCAGGACTCTGTGGTCTACAGAGTTGTGGTTGAAAGAGTGGCTGCTGGCCTGGAGATGAGGATCAAGACGTTCACATCCTTGATGGAAAGGAACGATGGGTTGAGAGGGATGAAGGAAGCCATCTTTGTGAAGAGAACCCGTCCATCATCAAACGGGGCGGAGCCTCCGTGTCCAACTGTCCCCCTCTCACAATGCTGTTATTACTAGAATCACTCAGCCCTCTGTGGATAGCAAGCAGCCATCAGGGTGCTAATGATTGGTCATTAGGTTGATGGTCCTCCTTTATCATGTGAACAGCTAGTTCTGGATGTCAACACCAAACTGGTTGATCCATAATGTGAAGGTGCTATTTCTAAAACTGAGTTTGTTGCAGCTCCTCAGACTGAAGAAGTCCTTTGGATAAAAGATGAAACTTAAAAAAATAAAAAAATCTTTAAATCCATCCAGAGGACCTGACTTGACTTTGTTAGATTTTTCTACCTGGATTATTGAGCATGCATCAGAAAAATTAGTAGTATTTTACTTTGATGTACATCTTTGTTTGCTTTATTTCAAAAGTAGTGACTTAAGATAAGAACTTTATTAATCCAGCAGGAAATTGTTGACTATTAACTCTTAATTGCAGCGCATGTATTAAACTGACGTTTGGAGCAAGACTGGCGTGGTCACTCCAGAAAAGACAGTTATTACATTAATAACTGGCTTTAGTTTTTAACACTGGAGGTTTTTCAATGTGTGACATTCTGTATTCTAGTGTTTTGAAGAACTGCAGCACTGGTGAAGCTGAAAATCAAAAGTATTTCTTGCAAGTCATTAATAATAATGACTTATTTTTCGTTTTGCCCAAAGCGGAAAAAGTCTTAGTTACTTCACCCATCAGCCCGGCTGGAGTTGAGTGTTAGGGAAAGTTATATTAGCCCTTAACAAGTGAACAGAACTTCCATCCATCCATCCATTATCTTTACCCGTTTATTCCATTTTGGGTCATGGGGGTCGCTGGTGCCCATGTCCAGCAATCACTGTGCGAGGGGCGGGGTACACCCTGGACGGGTCGCAAGTCCATCACAGGGACACATAGAGACAAACGAGACAAACAAACATTCACTCTCTCACTCACACCTAGGGACAATTTAGAGTTACCAATCAGCCTAACATGCATATTTTTGGTCTGTGGGAGGAAACCGGAGTACCCGGAGAAAACCCACGCATGCACGGAGAGAACATGCAAACTCCACCCAGAAAGGCCCCTGGACCGGGGTTTGAACCAGGGACCTGCTCGCTGAGAGGCAGCAGCTCTACCAGCTGCACCACCGTGCTGCCCTGAACAGAACTTAAGAGAGACAAATGTCAAAGTTTGCACATCTCCTGACAGAAGGAAATTAAAAGATATATATATGGGTGTACAATGGGCTCCTTAGATTCTTTAAGGTCATTTTTTTTGTTTATTGGGGGTGCGGACAAAAGGAAAAACAAACACAAACAGTGTATAATGTGAAATCACATGGACAAACAGCAGTGAAGTAAAATAAAATCTGTGAGAACTGCTGATTACTTTTAGGGATGGTGTTTTATGACATGTATAAATAAGAACAACAATCTGTTGTCCCCCACAGTGTGGATAAGGGTGAATGGTTACATTAGACAAACGTACGTCTACTGATGCTACATAAAGGGCGACAACTGTTCATAGATGTATTTATGGCACAACCATCAGAGGACACTGTGGTTTGAAAGACTGCACAGTGAGAGCAAACATTTACAACTTAATGAGCTGGAGTGTGTCAGGTCAGGAGCTAGCAGGGCTTTATGATCCAGCTTGGAAAAAAAACCCAGACTTGTCAGATTGTGTGCGGATATGACTCTGACCCGAGTCCAACTGTGACTCTGGCCACCGTCACCACCTCTTTGATCCTTTAAAAAAATATTTGAGTCTGAGAGCTGCTCTTGTACAAACAGTACTTGAGCCAGGAGAACTGTTGTCACTCAGCTCATCACAGCCCGCAAACTTCAGCAGGCAGGAAAAGTTTGGCACTGGTCGGGTTAAGTCATACGTGATAATGGAGGACATGAAAGTGGTTATGATACAGAACAGGAGAGGAGCTGAAGAGAAGTGGAAAAATACTCCCCCCCCCCTAATGACCGGTTCACATCTGAAAAGAGAAACACTCTGGAAACAGAGGTGATACAGGATGTGCAATATGTCAGCTGTGAGTAGAAAACAGATGCATTCTTTTCATTATTTCAAAAAATATATATTTATATGCACATACTTTTTTTGTACAGTGGCTAAACACTTGTTTGGTAATAAAAATGTGCACATCTGTATTTATTTTTTTGTCTTTAAATATAATATTACTCAATTTACACTTGCTAAACATCTTCAGCAGAGATTATTATAAGGTGGTAAAAGAAGTAGGTGACAAACCTGTTTTCCCTTTGATATAACGTCTTATTCTATTGGAATGCCAAGAGTCTGAAGAAAAATCAGAACTGTTACCTTGTAACTTGCTGCGTGATATTTTATAATATATATAAACAAAACCAAAGTGACATGAAACCCTGCATCCCTTCTTAACACACTGGCCGGGTAAGTTAGGACAAAACTCTTAAAAAAAGAAAGAATATAACTCAGATTTGCATTTAGTCTAAAATTCATCTGCTAACAAAACAAACAAAAAAAAAACACACGTAGGTTCTGCACTGTAAAAAAAGTCCTAATGAGTTTTTTTACAAACTGCAAATGTGATTGTGTTGAGTTGCTGCAAACACAACAATAAAAAGCTTCTCTGCAGTGAGGAGGTTCGTCCCAAACAGTGTAAGAAATGACCAAAAGCAAAACTGGAGCTCCTCTAGGACCTCGACCGCTTCAGTTGGCTCCGAGTCAACATGTTCATTAAGGGATTACAAACTTCTGTAATCACCCCAATTTTTAATCTCCTTAGTTTTTCAAATGTGTTTTTTTTTTCTGACATAAATTCTTGCAAAATAAAAATTCCACTTTGCATGAATCCTGAGTAACCTTTAAAAAAATACTTTGAATCAAAAAGCAACATGAAGATTCCTTTCGCTGAATCAGCACTCCTGATCTGAATACACGCTAAACGCCAGAGGACATTTTACTAATTTATAACCAAACGCTGCTAAAATGACACACAAAGACAAACGAATAACATCCTAAAATGTTTTTTTTTTTAAATGTGCTCTCTTTTTTTCCTGCTCAGTTTATCCCATTCCTGCCAAAAATATTCACACACTCAAACAAAACGAACAAAACCCCCCAGAAGGTTAGAGAAACAAATAAAAGAATAGACGGGTGGTACACATGAATAAAAGCATCCAAAATGATGCAGATATATTGATATAAATCAGTCAACATTTCATCAATGTCTCTGTGACTGAGTCTGATACAGTGTTTTGTGTCACCAGCAAGAAGAGAAAACTAACAAGCCGAACTTTGGGCCGATATAAACTTAGTAAAGTTTCAGACAGGCACATCATTATTTCATTTCATATATATATATATATATATATATATATATATATATATATATATAT